ATCCATCTGTACGTTGGAACGGATACCAATCATTTTAACAACATAAATACAATTATGCAAGGATATAACAATACCCTCCAAGCCAGCAAAACTTCACGTTCTGTATCAAATGATAAGACTTCAACACCTGGAATAGTAGAGCAAGACTTAAGGGTCATAACATTGCGAATAAATGGTTGATCCTCTCCCTGCAAAGTAACTATGTTTGCCACCTAGATATAGGTAGATTTACTTCAGAAAGAGTAAACAAAATTTATAACCAAAAAGCCAATAAAATGATTTTGGCACATACAATTAGATGAGATAAATAATTAAACCTGGATCACAGGATCATGTGTAGGCTCAGGAAAATGGCCTTTACGCCCTGCACACTCAATATCAAAACTCAATATCCGAAATGGAGCCATTTTGGAGAATTCCCCTTCTGGGGCATGGCTGATCAAGTCTGAATATCTATGAAGGGTGTTAAGCAAAAGTATCGAGGATAAAAGACCGGCCTAAAAATGAAACTTAAATAAAATTTTAAAAAATAGATATAGAGACAGAGGCCTCTAAAAAGAGGATACAGGCAATCAAACTCCAATTGGCAATATGATAAGTTTCTAATGGTTTTCTTATATTTTCCCACAGGAATCTCAATCCAGTTTCCACCAACAACATTACAATCAATCATAAAACGAAGGGCAAAAAGAACATTGCTTTCATATGTCATGAAGCTCTTCGTACCAAAGCCATCAACTTGTATGCCTCTATCAAGAATACCTGGAAAATTAATGTCAACATAATTATAAATGAGATAAAGCATGAACTCCGACTTTCTCGCGTGAATGTTATTAATGACATGTATGTCAATGAATGAGTAATCAATTTTAAAAGATCAAAGAGATATACAAAGGGCATGGAAAACAAAACATATTAAACGGCATACTCAAAAAGGGTGAAAGATAAATAATAAATACTATCCAAAATTTACCACGGCAACTGGCGACCATTGTTGGTAGTGCAACTACGATTTTAAGAAAGGATTGAGAAGTTTGCTGCTGGTAGTACATAATACTTCTCTTTTGCACCAATTCAATGCGACGCACAAAATTCGGGGCTTTACTATTCCTATTTACCTCTCTCATTCTAACCTGAAACATCATCACAAATAATTGAATAAAGTGAAAATTTTTCTACAACTGCTTGTATTTAGAACTTAAAATTACAGTGGTTTTAACAGAAAAATGATAGAAGGCATACCTCCAGAGTTCGGTGAAAAAGAGAGATATCATCAGGACCCATCCCTGGAGGGCAACTGATATAGAAGTATGGTTCAAATCCATGAACGTGGCAGCATACACTGTGTCCTAATAAATGTCCAACAGAATGGTATRTCAAATTAATAGAAGCATAATTTACATAAACAAACAAAACTTTCAACAATAAATCTTAGGTAAAACTTATAATAGAGAGAATCAGAGAATCTCTCCTCCGCTAGTCACACAATGGCTATTGACTAGTTTATTAGAAAATAGTGTTTTCTTATAAATCTTTATACTTATTCCATTGTTGTATCGGAATTATTCCCATRCATATACAAAATTGTAAAATTTCTGTATGAAAGCTTGGTTGAACATGAACTATCAATGAAAATTATCTCTATCTCATTCTTTTTTTTAAACTTGTTATTGTATCAAAGCCCTAAGAGCTCCAACAAGTCTCTCTCTCAACAAGAATCTCCCCTTCATATTTTCATGGCGGCCAAGATTAGCATTTCAATTGTCACCGCTCCATCTCTTGGTGTAAATGCTCCCCTCTTTTCCATCATTACAGTTATGCTTCCCTCTTATCTAACTGGAGAGCCTTTTTGTAGCCCTTTTCTTGGGCCTTATGTTCTCATATTTCATATATCAATGAAATAGTTTCTTTATCCAAAAAAAAAAAACATTTTTGCCATTAGTCGTCAACTTTACCAACTACCAGTAAAACTTAATCCTTCCAATTAACCTTTATGGGAACAATTGTTGACGATTTAGCCCTTGCTGCTGCTCAATTAGACAATTTAACCTAGTCGTGCATGAACTGAATCAAGTGGGACCTAACCTCAAGGAAATTTCTATTGCAGTGCGTGCTGGAGAAAGTGCGATCTCAATCTCATTTAAAAATTTGTTTCACAAACTTACTTAAGAGTGGATTATTCCTTAATATTACAAAATGGCCAATCAAATGTCTGCGATTCAAAGTTAATAGCACCCAGCTTAACAAGTGTGGAAATCCAAAAGGGGAAAAAAGAAACCAATGCAGACATGGATCGAGAAATATACTAAACGGATCATCTAGCAGAATTCCACCAATAAACCTAGCCCAAAACAATAACGGTAGTAGACAGATTTGTTCAAAGTGAGGGATGTCATGCCACAAAAAAAGCTACAGGAAAAACCTCCTACAACGCCTTAACCAACAGGTTGATGGACCCCGAGCATCCCAACATGTGACAAGTACTCTGAGCACCAACMTATGAAGAACCAACTGATAGAACAATGGTTGATTGTAGAATTCAAATCACACATACAGAATCCTCTAAGCTTTACTCCCCTTGCATCATCGCTTACATTGTAAAATGTTCTTTTTGCGCCTACTACGAAGCAAGACTTAATTTTAGTTCCAAACTTTCATAATCCCAATAAAACCTCTATTGAACTTCTTCCACTGAAGGATCTCACCAAGTGATCGGTTCTCGCACGCGCACAAAGCAAGAAAAATGTGAGCCGATGGCTGTACTTGAGACATCTAACYGGATTTGATACATCTAACTAACGATTACCCTTTCTTACGGACAAAATTGCTCAGTAGAATAACATATAAATTTTAAATTCATAAAAAGATGCAGACCTTCCCTCGTAACCCCAAAAATTCTGAGAATGGCGGCAGGGCCAGACAAATTTGACAACAATTCTTTGTGACTATCTCCAATCACATAATCAATCTCCAATTGCTGAAACACTGAAACATCAGGCACCAAAAAAAAACATCAAACTTACAATTTACGAAATACATAGAATGTAGTAGCTCGAGAAGAAGCATATCGACGTATTTCGACTCACCGATGCTCTTGGACTGCGACAGGTAATCCTGGGAAAGAGGTGGACGAGTCCACTTGGAGAGACGGGAAGCGAGGGCCAGACGCTCGTCAATGTCGCGGAGGATCAGAGCGTCCTCGTCGAGGAGAGTCTCGTCGAGGAAGACATCTTC